CCTGCTTTCGCTGCCCTGAATGGCAGGGTGGGGTTGTAGCGTTCTTCTCCAGAGGCTAGGCCTGGTTGTTGAATGACTTCCATTCTTCCAGGGTGGTAGAGTCAAAGAAGAAGGCTGTGCAGAGACTGGAGGAGCAGTTAATGAAGCTTGAAGTTCAGGCCACAGACCGAGAAGAGAATAAACAAATTGCTTTGGGAACCTCCAAACTCAATTATCTGGACCCGAGGATCACAGTGGCTTGGTAAGCACTGAGCCCTTCCTGAGTTCCTGCTGCTGGCCTGAAAAGGGTAATGGGGGGGGGGGGGCGGTGAGAGCAAGGGGGGTTCAAGAGCACTGTGGGCCTTCACACACCATTCCTGCACGTCACACTTTAAGTACTTTGGGAAACCCCTGCCTTTCGACTCTGCATACTACAAATGCACTAGAACATCTTAATGGCCCTAAGTAGTCAATAATATTGCTATACTGCCTTGGAATGTATTTACGTCTGTTTTTAAAAGCCAGTTGCAGCCCCTACCTTTATGGAACTTTCGGACAAGAATGGGAATTCTTAGCCTTCATTAAAGGAAAACTATAAGAGCCAGTCTGTCTACACTTGAACAAAACTTTTCAATAAAATATTTTTTTTTAACAAGTGAAGGCGGAAAGGAACAAGCAGAAAAAAACAAAAATGAGAATGTAGATCTCAGCAACTTACAGAAAGAGAGGACGCTTATAACAAAGGCAGATAAATTCTCTATTATTTGTGTCCGCTCTTGTCCCACACAGTCATAAAATGACATCCAAAATAACTGGCTTTTATTTTTTTAAAGATGCTTACTGAATTGTTCTAAGCTTAGGTGGAAGAATCCATCTCTGTGCTCCTCTGGGCCAGGGGTTCCGCCCAGCTGTTGCACCCTTTTTGCTCTTTTTGCCCTTTTTGCCCTGTTGGATGCTAGAGGTTCGGGTAGCTTGAGGGACAGTATGCGCAGTGGTTAAGAGCATGGACTCAAGCCAGACAGCTTGGGTTCAGTTTTCAGCTCCATGCTCTCCAGCTGCATGAGGATATAAGCAAATTACTGAATTATCTCTCTCAGTTTTTTTCTTTTCTTTTTTCTCTTTTCTCTCTTTTCTTTCTCTTTCTTCTCTCTCTTTCTCTCTCTTTCTTTCTTTGACAGAGAGTACAAGCAGGGGGAGCAGCAGGGAAAGGGAGAAGCAGACTCCCTGCTGAGCAAGGAGCCCGATGTGGGACTTGATCCCAGGACCCTGAGATCATGACCTGAGCCAAAGGCAGACGCTCTACCGACTGAGCCACCCAGGCGCCCTTTCTTAGTTTTTTCACATGTACCTTTTTGATTAGTACACCCTGTAGTAGCAAGTAGCATCTACCTTAGAGGTCACTGTCATGATTTAAATGAGCTCATGATGCTCTTAGAATGTGTCCGGCACACTTCCTAAAATTCATTCTCACCAGATGGGCAATGAAGAAGGAGGTACATTCAAACCCCCTACCCTGGGTCTGGGCTGTTGCTCGCTGAGACACTAATCCCTCTCTCTCCTTTGTGTGCAGGTGCAAGAAGTGGGGAGTCCCCATTGAGAAAATTTACAACAAAACCCAGCGGGAGAAGTTTGCTTGGGCTATCGACATGGCTGATGAGGACTACGAGTTCTAGCCAGTCTTGAGGGGAGAGTTCTGTGAAAAGGAACAGCGTGGTTTGGGGAAGATGGATAAACTGTGAGCCTTGCTTACCCTCGCACCTGAGGGAGAGAGGCAGCAAGTCTTAACAAACCAACATCTTTGAGAAAAGATAAACCTGGAGATATTATAAGGGAGAGCTGAGCCAGTTGTCCTATGGACAACTTATTTAAAAATATTTCAGATATCAAAATTCTAGCTGTATGATTTGTTTTGAATTTTGTTTTTATTTTCAAGAGAGCAAGTGGATGGGAATTTGTCAGAATTCTGCCAGGCAAATTCACTGTTTCACTGAAGCATTTGGATTCTCTTAGCTACTGTATACGAAGTCCGATTATATTGGTGCGTTTTTACAGTTAGGGTTTTGCAATAACTTCTATATTTTAATAGAAATGAATTCCTAAACTCCCTCCCCTTTCCCCCATTTCAGGAATTTAAAATTAAGTAGAACAAAAACCCAGCGCACCTGTTAGTAAGAATTGTCACTATCTATTGTCATGGGAATCAATTTTCATTAAACTTGAAGCAGTCGTGACATCGGCAGTGTTTTGGTTCAGACACCTGTTCACAGAAAAGCATGATGGGAAAATATTTCCTGACTTGAGTGTTCCTTTTTAAATGTGAATTTTTATTTCTTTTTAATTATTTTAAAATATTTAAACCTTTTTCTTGATCTTAAAGATCGTGTAGATTGGGGCTGGGGAGGGATGAGGGGTTGAGTGAGTCTAAGGATAATGAAATAATCAGTGACTGAAACCATTTTCCCATCATCCTTTGTTCTGAGCATTCTCTGTACCCTTCAGATATCCATCTTTTTCATTTTAAAGCCAGTCTTTCACTTGAAAGATTTTATTGTGTAAAAAGTTCCACAAGTCAATAATTTAGAGGAAAATGAGTATTTGGTCCAAAAAAGGAAAAATAATCAAGAATTTAGGGCTTTTATTTTTTTCTTTTGTAATTGTGTAAAAAATGGAAAAAAAACATAAAAAGCAGAATTTTAATGTGAAGACATTTTTTGCTATAATCATTAGTTTTAGAGGCATTGTTAGTTTAGTGTGTTTGCAGAGTCCATTTCCCACATCTTTCCTCAAGTATCTTCTATTTTTATCATGAATTCCCTTTTAATCAACTGTAGGTTATTTAAAATAAATTCCTACAACTTAACGGAAACCTAGTGTCTGCCTCTTTGTACCCAGGTCCCCGGCCTGACTGGGGCTACAGGACTTGGGACTCCTTGTGGGATGTGGTCTCACTGCTCAGCTCCGTAAGGGTGGCTCCCTCCCTCCCCAGGAGCTGGGGCTAGACTGGGCCTGGAAGGGGCTGCACCTGTCCTGTGCTGTGGATGTGGGGAGGGGAGCCCAAGTCCACATCCTTCAATAAAAGCAAGCCCAGGAAGTGAGGGATGGTATAGAAAATCTCTAAGAACAGGTGGGGTACAACAACTGTTTGGAGCCTAGGGTAGATAATATGTATTGAGCAAGATGTAATGAATGTATTTGGGAGGCAGACCTTCTGCTTTCTGTGTGTGCTGGCCACAAGCATCAGGGACCTTGTCTGGGTTTGCTTGTGTGGCTAAGCTTGCAGTCAGGATGGCAGGAATTAAGGGTACCAAGCCAATTTCAATCCAGTACTCAGTGGATCCCAGAGGCCCAAATGTAGACTTCCTGTGTTGATCGGTTAATTACTCCCCAGAGCTCCTGGCCCCGTGTTGGTAGGGTCCCTACAAAAATGCCTCAGGAAGAAAGATGAATTAATCCTGGCCAAACAGAGCAGGGAGCAGGAAGGCCGGTGGTCAGAATTGGTCACTTGGCCCTACGCCCCCTGGCTTGCTAGCATGTACCAGGTATATTCTGGGAGGAGAGCCATCTCCTTGACAGTCTCAACTTCCTGGGACCAAGGGCTGGGCTGGTGTTGGCCCACTGAAGAGAACCCTGGAAGATCCTTCTTGGCAGTCTGCATTTCACTGCCCAGTGAGGGAGGGAGCATTCGTGCCAGGGAAAAAAGGAGGTTACGTGGCCATCAGTGCTTTGGAGCTGATTACAGCCAAGTTTTGTAAGTTCTGAGGTGTTGAGGTAGCTACACCACTGAACATAAAGAATGGCAACACAGAAGCTCTTGAAATACTCAAATCGATACACTTCATGGTTGAGGGGTGGGCGATAAGAATTTGGACCTGGGTTTGGGACTTGAGCAGGACTGTCCAAAACCAGGGGACAAACCTTGCTCCAGAACTAGAAATTAGGGACAGGAGGCCTTGCACACTTAAGATTTTACTGATGAGGATAAACTCGAGCCTACCTTTCCCAGTAGGGATCGTCCTACAAGTCCTCTGAGGGCAGGTGCACAGCAACTAGATCTGGTCAAGAACAATTGTGAAGGGCACCCCTTGGTGGTAGCAGGCTTGGGAGAGCAAACCAGAGGATGGAAGCTGACCTGGCCAGTGGGGATGAGGGTAGGGGTTGGACATGTAGGTGAGGGCCAGGTGGGACAGGCCCTGAAAAATGCTTGAGTCCGGAGTTGGGAGAAGACCCACCCCCTCGCTTATTCCTCCAGTAGTTGTGTCCCTCCTCACACTTCCAGCCTTGTCCAGAAGCAGAAGCCTGATGTGCAGAGTCTGAAAAACTCCCTCCTAACAGGCTCTTCTGTGATGCTCGAGTCCAGCTCTGGGCAAAGTGGGATGGCTTCCACATGCCAAGTATCTGCGTGCTTGCTTGGCTCCTCTTTCCCTTACCCCCTGCATCTGCTCAGCAGCTCTTGTCCAGTCTCTGTCAAGTCCACCTTGGGCCTACGTCACAGTAAAAAAATGAAAAAAATAAAAAGTCTCACTACTCCCACCTGTTTCCAGCCACCACCCCCTCTGTCTCCCACTTCACACACAAGTGCCTGGAGTGAGTCATGCCCTCTGCCGGGTCATTCCTCCACCCACTGCAACCAGCTTCTGTCCCACCTTGACCCCGAATCCCCCCTCCCCTCTGACCACAGTCGCCAATGAATGAGTGCCCAAACCCATAAATGGGCTCTGCATTGTGTATCTTCTTTGTGGCACTGGACATTTAACCGCTCTTCCATTTAACAGCTCTACTGAAAACATTTTACATATAAAATCCACCCATTCCAAGTGTATTTTTAGTAACTACTGAGGGCTATTGCCATCATCATAAATCAGTTTTAGTATATCATCCACCCAGTAAGTTCCCTCATGCCCACTTAAAGTTAATCCCCACTCCCACCTCCAGCCTCCACTAATCTGCTTTCTCTCTAAATTTGTCTTTTCCGGTGGACATGACAGACAAATGAAATGCCACAACATGTGAGCACTCGCCTCTCTAAGCACTTCTCTCTAGCTTCCACGATGGCATCCTCTCCTGGTTCTACTCCTTTCTCTCTCAGGCTGCTTCATCTTGGTCATCTCCCCTCTCAGGTCCTGTCTGCTGTGGCTCTCTCCACTGCACAGAAGAAATGGATTTCATTTGCATGGAGGGCAACAACTCCCAGACTTCCATCTCCAGCCTAGACCCCTTTCCTGAGCTCCAGACCCATGCTGGAGCTGGAAGGGAGGTCCCCAAGCTACTCACTCTCCAATCTCTGGAACTGAGCTCAGTACCAACTACTCCATGGCCATTGGGCTGTTTCACATCTCAGAGAGAGGCACCACCATCCACTCTGCCCTTCAACCAGAGTCTAGGGCCACCCCCAGCCTTCACTCCTTTCTTTCTCTTACTTCCACATCCAGTAAATTAGCAACTCTGAAATCCTCATAAATGCCACATACACCAAATACAGGTATTTCTCCCACAAAAAGCTTTATAAAATCTTTTTTTTTTTTTTTAACTCAGAAAAGAGTTTACTTATATTTTGGTCTTTACAAAATCCCTCATATAATGGGATACTCTCTCAACTTGTTTTGAACCAAAAAGCACTTTTTGGAGAAAAGACATTACCCTGAAATGACCTCTCAAGCTAGTTTTGGACGATTATAAGTAGTCCCCTGACAAAATGTGTAAACAAGGAGGCAAAGAAATTTACCACAGACTTCATAATTATTTCTCACAATCCCAAGTATTACATATAAACAAATCTCTTAAAGGTCACTTTAATAGCAAGACAACATTGATTTTTTTTTTAAGGCTTCGCAATGGTATGCTACATATAGATTCACACACGTGTGTGTGTGTATTTTAACGGTTTCAGAAAAACATACTACGGACTTAAGATTTGTGTCAGAATATGGAAGGGGGGGTGCCTGGGTGGCTCAGTGGGTTAAGCCTCTGCCTTCGGCTCAGGTCATGATCTTGGAGTCTTGGGATCAATCCCCGCATCGGGCTCTCTGCTCAACAGGGAGCCTGCTTCCTCCTCTCTCTCTGCCTGCCTCTCTGCCTACTTGTGATCTCTCCCTCTCTGTCAAATAAATAAATAAAATCTTAAAAAAAAAAAAAAAGAATATGGAAGGGGTTGGTGGAGTCTGACATGAAGCCAGAGTGACCATCAGCTCAAAATTGAAGCTGGCTGATGGGTACGAGGAAGTTCACTATACTATCCTGTCCACACTTACATACATTTGAAATTCTCCATAAAATTTTTAGTGCAATACAGTAAGTAGTTATTATGCAGATCATTAATATATACCTATGGGAGAAATGAAAAGAAAGCTGTTTTAACGTTACACAAAAGGTCATTCTGCTTAGATTCAAATTTAGCATGAGATACTGACTCGGTAAGTATTCTCTCCAACAACACGGAGGAGTCTCAAAAACATGCTGAATGTAGACCACGGTTAGATACTCCTTGGTTCCGTTTTATGTGAAATTCTAGAATAGGCAAAAACTACTCTGTAGTGACAGAAATTATGTTAGTAATTGCTGGACGGGAGGGCAGGGGAGACGGACTATAAGGGGCACCGAGAAACTTCAGGGTGATGGAATCAAATACCTTGATTGTGTGGAGGTTACACGACGGTATTACATTCATCAAAGCTCACCAAACTTTACACTTAAAGAGGGGTCCACTTTTTTTTTTTTTGTATGTAACTTATTCTTCAATCAAGCTGATTTTTCAAAAGTACTCTCAAAACAACTTAGAAAGCACTGAAGGTGATGTGCTTTCAGAAATGTATATTAGATGACTCAAAGTAGTTCTCCTGGGGATAACTACATAGAAATCAAAGATTCGTAGAGAGTTTGACCATAAGTTGATTACTCCAAAGGTGAGAGTGGGAAAAATACATATTCATAAATTAATATGCTGCTTTAAATATGTGATTTAGAATGTGTTCACGTAACTCAATAAGCTGTCATACTGGCCATTTGAATCATGTGTCTCTAAGAATGTTTCTATTTTAGTTGCAAAGAAGCCACAAAACATCTGGAGAGCCCTTACTGCAAAAACAAGTGATCACCTTCTACTGGGTGGGAGTTGCCATATCTCTAGGCATATACATTCTCTCTCGCTTAGCTCTACCCTCACAGCTACCAACACATGTCTCTCCTCAGTGTTCCAGGGGCCCTTATCACAGCCAGTTGTCATCTGTTGACAAATTTCTGTTGGCATTTCTTTACCCACAAGTGGAGTGAGAACTGATTCATCTCCGCTGTTACCACTATAGAGGAGCATCAGGAGAGTTTGTTGGAAGAAAGGAAGAGAAAGGGGCACCTGGGGTGGCTCATTCGGTTAAGTGGCTGCCATCAGCTTGGGTCATGATCCCAGGGTCCTGGGATCGACCCCATGTTGGGCTCCCTGTTCAGCAGAAAGCCTGCTTCTCCCTCTCCCTTTCCCTCTGCCCCTCCCCATGCTCATGCTCACTCTCTCTTTCTCTCTCTCTTTCAAATAAATAAGTGAAATCTTAAAAAAAAAAAAAAGGGGGGGGGGGAAGAAGAACAAGAAACATGAGATCCAACAACTAAGTTGGAGCCATAGGTAGATATTGGGGCCAGAGGTCAAGAATCTGAACTGCAGGTTGTGGGGTGGAGCTCAAGGTGCACTGGGGTGAGCATTAAGTACCCGCTGTATACACAGGTACAGGTTAGCAGGCTCAAACTCAGAGATGAGCTGGTCAGACACCTAAAATAAGAAACTACCAAGCAAAAATTTTAAAGAACAGCTGTAAAGAAAAAGGATAAAGTTTTATGTGAGGAAACAAGACTGTAAGTCTATAACTCTGCCTACTTTCAATTGTGGAAGGGGCTTCATTGAGCTACACTTTTATATTATCCCTTCTATATTTATGCAAGGTCATTACAAGGAATCAATGAAAACTGCATATCTGTTGGGAATATTCTCCACGATCTCAATCAAATAAGTGTTCATATGAGAAACTTCTTTTATAATTTCACCCCAGGAAAATGTTTCTCCCCCGGGGGAATCAGTTAACAGAATAAAAAGTTTTTGCTTTGGCTACCAGGAAGCTCAGTTACATTTGATTCTCAGTGACAGCAGTCGTGTTAACCCTTTCTAACCATATTCTATTCCTCCTCCTTATATAGCCTATTCCAATTCTACAGTGCAGTATTTTTGTTCTTTGGTTTAAATGCTCTAAACATTTCTAAAGGACTGGAAAGGAATATATCTGAGGTGGGCAAGCCATGTGCCACTGAGATTCTCCTTCAAGGAAGCACTTGTCGCCCCCATTGCTGGGAGACCCGTCAGCCCTCAAAGATCATCTCAGTTCCAGACAGCCATGTGACCGAGGCTGCGCTCTTCCTGGAACTGACTGAAGGGGGACCTGAAGGCCCAGCCATTTCGAGCCAGAACTAGACAACAGAGCTCCCTGGACGTTGGCTGAGGCTGTCACCAGGCCTGTGCCACAGCTTAACTTCTCCCTGTGCTCCCTCCTCTTTCCTCCTCTCTCTCTCACAGTGTTGATCCCAAGAGCCCTCCCTATCTAAGTTTCTGCATGCTAGCCTCTGCCACCCAGAGTCTGCTTCCAAAGAGTCTAATCTGTGACATTTAACCAAATACAGATGGTCCCCGATTTATGACAGTTTGACTCACGATTTTTCAGCTTAACGATCGTGCAAAAGTGATATGCACTCGGTAGAGACTGTACTTTGTATTTTGATCTTTTCCCGGCTAGCCATATGCAGCGTGAGCCTCTCTTGCGATGCTGGGCAGCGGCCATGACTCCCAGTCAGCTGTGTAATCAAGAAGGTAAGTAACCCCTATGCTTACAACCCTGCGCCCATACAACAATTCTGTTTTTCACTTTTACTACAGTATTCAGGAAATTTCATGAGACATTCAACACCTTATTATAGAACAGGCTTTATGTTAGGTGATTTTTATCCAACCAGAGGCTAATGTTAGTGTTCTGAGTACATTTAAGGTAGGCTAGGCACAGTAAGTGCTTTTCAACTTACCGTATTTTCAAATTATGACGGGTTTATTGGAATGTAACCCCATCATAAGGCAAGGAAGAGCTATAACTAAAAATAGAAAACACATCAGGTAGGGATACAATGGAAGGGGGTGAGAACACACAGCGAAATAGTTCATACCTACACGGGAGGCAACGTTAGCATTGACACTGGAGCCAGGCTGCCTGGGTTTGAATCCCATCTCTGCCATCTCTCAGCTATGTGTCCATAAACACGTCTCTCAATCTCTTGTGCCTCAGTTTTTTCATCTATAGGTTGGAAATAGTAAGAGAACTTAGAATGCTGTCATAAGTAAGTGAGCCAACGTGGGTAAAGCAGTTATATAGGACTCACTATATGCCAAGTGCTGTTCTAAGTGTTCGATAAATAAACACCTAAGAGGTCAGGCCCTATGAGGCCAAAGGGGCATCTGAGCTGGGACCCTTACCCAGAACACAGGCACACCCAGGTACGGTGTGGGCTGGGGCATGTTGAAGCACGAGTGCTGACAGAAATAGGCCCAAGCAGGGCTAGCCTGGGTGATGTCAGGGCGTGTATCTTGTGTGGGTTCTGGGCTGCTCCCTCCAAGCCAGCGCAGCTGCACACATTGCCAGGAACACCCACGTACCCATATATATGCTGAGCTGGGGGAAGCCCAAACCAGCCACACCCCTCTGCATGGCCTGCTTTTCCTGAATCTCTTTTGGTGGAGGCAGGCACCTGAGGCCTGAGAAGCTAGCTCAGAAATCCCAGAAGGAAACGGGGCCTTTTTTTCTGATGAAGGGCCTGGCAGCAGACTGAAAACATGAGCTCCTGTTGACAGAGCTTTCTGGATCCCCTGGGGGCCTGCCTGGCCCTGGAGGCAAAAGCAAAAGCAAGAAAGCATGGTCTGAGTGCTAGGAAGCTCTCAGAAAATGGAGAAAGAGATTTTAAAAGTGTATCACAGCTACCCAAGTCAACACAAGAAGCTCGACAAGGACTATAGCACTTAGGAGGGGATGTCAAGGACAAATGGACGAGAACAGATAAGCAGAGAGAGGCCCCATTCTGTCCCTGGCTTCACCTGCGATGCTCCCCCTCACTTAGTATAACTCTAGCCTTTTCATTCCTACACTCATTAAGCTCTCTCTGGCCTTTGTACATGTTGTTACCTCTGCCCGGAAAGTACCTTAGTCCAGCCCACCTCTAATAATTCACCTGACCAGCTACTCACATCCTGTAGACCTCTGCTGAGTTCTAGAGAGGCCTTCTTTTCTACTGAGAGAGAGCTAAAATAGGTGTCCCTCATGTTTTATCTCGTAGCCCTCTGTGTTCTTCCTCCCTACCTGCCATCACAAACGTCCCTACATAACACTGTTTATTTGTTTAATGCCTGAATTCCTGGACGGTTAGTGCTGGATTTCTCTTTTTCTTCCAACCCAGGACACCATGGCCCAGCACAGGGCAGCTCAGGGACAGTCCAAGCCATACTCTATGAGCATTCCCTGTTCCTAGAGCCAGCCATGCGCGGGGCCTCCCCTCACTGGTACTGACTAGCGAGCTAGCCTCTGTGCCCGATGACTGCTGACCACCAGGACCTATTTAAGGCTCTCTTATGAAGCAAAAAAAATGCATGGACTCAAGACAGATTGGGTTCAAATTCCCACTTGTTACTTATGTGGCCTTGGGGCAAGCTGCAGAAATGATCTGAATCTCAGGTTCCTCATCAGTAAACTGGGGACAATAATCCCTGATTAGATGGTAATTATGAGGATCAGGTGTGACCACACCTGTAAGCCTTGTAGTGCAGGCCAGGCCCTGGGTCGACTTTAGTGCCCTCCCTCCCACTTTAAAGGGTGGGCACTAGGTGGCAGTCCATCTCGGATCACTCCACCTCCCCCAGGTGGTTGAAGCCAACAAAAGGCTCAGCTTCGTGCTGGATTCTCAGCTTCCTAGGGGCCACACTTGAGGGACTCCAAATACAACCCCACACGTTACCACTGCAGCAAGACAAAGTCAGAGGCAGCCCTGGTCAGGAGTCACCACCCAGCTGGGTAGGGGGTCTAAGCACACACGCTGATACTCACGGATTGCTGAAACCTGGATCTTTCTCTGGCATCAGCTGGGTGCTCTGCCGGGCCTCTGGGCTCTCAAGTTGTTCTGCTTTGCCTGACTCCACATCTGTCAGACCAGCTCCCCTGTGACCCCGGGTGTCTTCAGTTTGTGATGGGGGCGGCTACACTTCAGGTGCAAGTCTAGGGAATGGCTTCAGGAAGAGTATGAATTATTCAAATAACCACTAAAAGGTCTTGTGGCTGCAGCATGGAGAGTAAAGGGGAGGTGGTGAGAGACAAAGTGGGAAAGAGAGAAAGGGGCCCGAGCATACAGGACCAGCTAGGACAGGAGGGCCTGTGGATTTTAAGTGCGGTGGGAAGTCATGGAGGGTTTGAGGCCGAAGGTAGGGGATCACGATTTAATTTCTTTTTAAAGATTAAAGCATGAAGAATAGATGTAGTTCAAATCAGGGAGAATAAATAGTCTGGATGAGAAAAGATGGACGTCATGCTTGTGGGCGGAGGGGAGGTAGCCAACGGTAGAGCTAAAGGGCCTTGCTAGAATGCTGGGCGGTGGAGACCGTCAGGGGAATCAAGGATACCTCCAAGGGTCTTGGCCCAGGCGCCTTAGAAGACTTAATGCCACGTTCCGAGAAAGGGAGGACTGTGGGAAGAGCGGTTTGAGGAGGGAGGGGAGAGGCTCGTGTTAAATGGGGGCGTGGAGCAGCGGGATGCGGGGAATACAGATTTGGTGCTACGGCTGAAGCCATGGGAAAGGTCGATTTAGGAACTGACTCAGGACCCAGCCCAGAGGAAGAGAAACTTCTGGGACCCAAAGGCAGAGGCCTGAGACGCAGGAGAAAAACACGGGGCTTAGGCCACGAAAACCAAAGCTCCGGAAAGCGTTTGCAAGAGGGGCGCGTGGAGGCGGAGCGTGAGGTGGGGCTGGCAGTGGCTGATGAGAAGCAGAGATGGAGGCCACCGGGGGCCACAGGTCGAAAGGCCCTCCAGGGGAGGCTCAGGTCTGGGGGCTTCTCCGAATGACGGGTCCGTCGAAGGTCACACTGGCCACAGGGGCAGGACAGACGTGGGTCCGGCCGTCGCAGGAGCGGCCTGAGGGCCAGCCCTGCGCGACCAAAAGGAGGGGAGGGACAGGCCTGCTGTCCATCAGAGCCCGTCGGCCAATCCGCAGGCTGCTCCGCCCCCGCCCCTCCCGAGGAGGGCGCGCAGAGGACCGGCCGCCGCCGCCGCTGCCGCCGCCGCCGCGGGTGTGAGGCGGCCCGGCCTGGCCTGGCTGGCTCCCTCCGCCGGGCAGCCCGCCCAGGTAACCGGGTTTGGCCGGCGGGCCTGGCGGCGCTCTGCACCCTCGGCTCTTCTCCCGGACGCCGCGCGGGGAGCGGGGTTGAGGAAACGGCTGCGGCGGGGCCTGTGCGGGACAGTGGGCTGGGCGGCCGCCTGTGCGTGTGCGACTGACTGACGGGCCGGCGCGGGGCTGCCGCGCGTGACGGGGCCAGCCGGGGCAGCGTGAGCTTGAAGCTCTGCGGGACGGAGGGACGGGCTTCTTGACCGCGAGCGGCGCGCGCGCTCCCGCCGCCATTGCGCCCCGCGCCCCCGCCCGGGGCCTGTCCGGGGGTCGCGGGGCGCAGGCGCGGCGGGCGGGGGTCCTCTCCACGGGCGCGCGGGCGCCTTTGTTCCCGGCGCGCGGGCCGGGGCGGGGCCTGCAGAGCCGCCCCGCCCCCCGCTCAGGCCCCGCCCCGTCTCCGCCCGCAGGAGCCGCCGCCGGGCCCGCTCGCCGGCCGCCTCTGCCGCCGCCGCTTGCTCCCGCCGGCCGGGCCTGCGCCGCGGCGCCGCCGCCTGCTGCCACCCTCTCTTCCACCTCCACCGCCAGTGCAGAAGCCATGGCGGGCGCCGCGTCCCCCTGTGCAAATGGCTGCGGGCCCGGCGCGCCTTCGGACGCCGAGGTGCTGCACCTCTGCCGCAGCCTCGAGGTGGGCACCGTCATGACTTTGTTCTACTCCAAGAAGTCGCAGCGGCCGGAGCGGAAGACCTTCCAGGTCAAGCTGGAAACGCGGCAGATCACGTGGAGCCGTGGCGCCGACAAGATCGAGGGGGCCAGTAAGTGCGCCCCCTTCCCCGGGCCCGCTGCGCGCGGGGGCCGCGGGAGTCCGCGCTGGCCTCCCGTGCGCCGCGGCCGCTGCTGGAGTGACTTGGGTAAACTTTCGGGCCCTCCCCCACAGCCTCCGGCCCCGCCCCCGCCTCTGCCCCGGTGGTCACCGGGGGCGGGGGGCATCCGGGTCCTCAGTCACCTGACAGGACACCCCCTCCCCCAGCCTGGGAAGGGGGGAGCGTTCCAGGCGCTTTGCCCAGAGGCCTAAAAATCCTAGCCGGTTGGAGACCGGCGGGGCGGGCATCGGGTCTCCCCTGCCCCGGGAGTGGTGTTGACGGAGGCCAGGGAAGCCCGGGCAGGTCAACCCATCCAGCCCCAGAAGCAGGGGCCGGCCCAGACGGTCACCGCCCGTGATCACCTTTTTTCCCATGGTGAAACTTTCTGGGTCCCCCCGGGTTGGTTTCCATTTGTAAAGGAACCTTTGCGTTCCCTGAGTAGAACTTAGATGTTGGGGTAGGGTTGGTTTTGGATCAAAGCCAGGCCTACTCATCTGTCTCTTGGGGAGTGAGTGAAAGGTGGTCCTGTTTGGTTTGGAAAAGCCCGAGAAAAGGCAGTGGCTTTTTCCCCCGCTGCTTTTGTCTTGAAGCTGAATTTTAGAGGTCTGCGTGGGTGGGCAGACACTCAAAGCCAGGACAGGGACTCTTGGTAAAGGGGCCAGGCTCCCCTTACCCTTGGAAGCACATTCCCAAGAGCTTGGCCCAGAAGAGCCAGCTTCAGTGCCTTAGAGTCAGGTACTTTTTTCAAGAGTGTGCAGCCAGTTTGGGGTCCCGGTCTAGCCCTTTATGTCCTGTGCTCTGTGTTCCATGGCTGCAGGGAGCCGGGAGTAGCTACTTTTGGTTTCCTGCCTCTTTGCCTTCTCAGGCCTGAACTTGGCTGCTTTGGGACAGGTCTCAGTTGGGAGGAGGGAGTTGGGGGATTTTGAAAAATCCCAGATCTTTCAGTGTTATGCCACTTAGTGCATGCTTGTGCTGTGGCCGGATGGGCACCCAGCTCTGCCCTCCATTCCTCCACATTAGGTGTGAGAGGTAGTGTGTCTGCAGCCCTAAGTTGTGGGTTGCTTCCTGCAAGGACTCCTCTAGAGACAGGTGTTAGAGCCAGGGTCAGAACCAGGTCCTTGTGGAGGAGGGGCATCAGGAAGTGACACCCCCCCCCCAAGAGAGGGTCCAACAGACCTCCTTGGGTATGGTGTACATGTGTGTAGATGGGTTGAGGAGATTGGGAGGAAGGAAAGTCTTGTGGTGAGGCAGCCATCCTCAACTATAAACTCCAGATCTGATACTGCTGCTGAACTTAGAAATGGCAGCTGCCTTCCTCTGTGCCTCCAACAGGCCTGTCAGCTATGGAGAGAAAATTTTAGTGATTTGAGAGCCTGGATTCCAAAGCTGTGGAAGGACAGACACCACAGGGAACCGGATAGTCCTGGGGACATCACCCAGGCATCTAGACTCCAGGCACTCGGTTTTGTGGTGCTCCCTGTGCTCTGCTCAGTTGGTGGCACTGGCCAGAGGTTCCCTGCTAGAGATTTCCTGGGTAACTAACAGGTTGCACTTCAAACCATGCATGGGATCAGCAGGCAGTAAGGGCAGCACTGTGGTTGAAGGCAAGCCTGGATTTGAAGCCCATATAGTAGTTGTGGGCCAGTTACGTATCTAGCCAGTTACTTATTTTTTTTCTGAGCTTAGTTTATCTGTAAAGCAGGAGTAGTAATACATACACTATATATGGTTGCTCTGGAGACTAAATGAGAATTGTTGTAAAACCTCTAGCACAGTGCCTGATACGTTGTAAGCGTTTAATAAACCTTAGCTGTTTTTAATAACAATAGAAATAATAGACTATGACTGCCCTCCATCCTGGACTGTGAATGTTGAGAGAGAGAGAATGTGTGTGTGGCTCTCGGAGAGCCTGAGGGTATAGGAAGGGAGGAGGATGGGAACCAAGTTCACATTTCACTTAGGTCACTACCCAGAAAAAGGGAGGAAATGGTGTTGTTTTGCTTCAACCCATCTCCTCACCCACCCACCTATCATATATGGAACAGCACATGACAGAGTAAAATTTATGGAGTAAATCTATGGAGATTTGCACATCTGACTCCTGGGTGTGGCTATCTTATTTGTAAGTTGGGGCCTAAACAGAAGGGAGGGGTGTGGAGAGGGAAGAGTCTAGTCCATGGTGTGTCACATCTTCAGGAGATGGTGACAGGAATGCAGAGGTCTCAGCCCCCAGCAGTAGGTCAGCTAGAGAAGTACAGATTCAGGGATCTCATCAGCTGGGAGTATAGGCAAAGAATGTCAGAGTCTTGGCCCTTTGATTTCAGAGGCCCAGATTGAAGGAGTCTGAGTAAAAATGCTAGTAGATACTTGGGTAGAGTTCACACCTTGTAAATGGAGCCTCCCGCTGAAGCTGCCCAACTTCAGCCAGTTTTTGGTCTACCTTGCTGATGAGTGCTGGTCCCTGCAGCCCCCTCTGCAGGCTCTGAGGAAGGTGGGCAGCCAGCTGTGTCCCCCGCCATCTGGCCTTTTCCTGCTGACTCTGCCAGGGTTCCATGTAGTGCTTGTAGCCTGGCCAAGGAGAGCGGCACTTCTGCTACCCCGAAGGTGTCTGGACCTGAAGGAGGGATACTGTGGTTCAATGAAAATGCATAGCACCCATGCAACAGACCTCATTCGGACCTAACTCTGTGCCTTCTCACTTTGCCGCTTGTGAAATGGGGCTGCCATGTGCTCATTTCTAGGGTGGTAGTTCGGCTCAAAAGAGGGGTGGGAAAGTGCTTTGGTACTAGTTGTCATGGTGATGCGACAGGAACCAGGTTGATGTTTGGCTTTTTTTTGTAGCAGATACTGACATAAATGAATACGAAGCCATTACAGACTTCCTGCTGAGTGCTACAAAGACTTTTCATCATATTTTCTTGGGGGTGGGGCTGTGTCTGGGGTCCCACCCCATTTTACAGATGAGGAAATGGAAAATATGGGGAGTGAGTTGTTCCCCTGGGGTGATAGTGCTACCATGAGACAGTCTCACCTGGACCCAGCCCTCCAGGCACTGACTCCCTGGCCATCCCGAAAGGACTCTCAGCCTCAGGGCTGTGCTGCCAGTGGGCCTGCCCCAGGCCCCATACCCACTGGTCTCTGCTGCTCCTCTAAGGAGAAATTTTTGTGCGTAGCCCTGCATTACAGATCCTCAGCCCCTCTAGGTTCTGGCTCCACATTTGTCCTTCTGATACCTTTCTGGGGTTCAGTCAAGAGTCATCGTGGGCATCGTGGCCTGGGTGGAGGCTCCACGGAGGGCTCTGAATGACAGCCATGCTCATCTGTGGGGACTTTTGGAGCCTAATGCTTTCCACTTGGATTCTTCCCCACTCTTCTAGATGCCAGGCCTTCTTAGGTGGTGAATGAAAACAGGTCCTTGCCCTCAGGGAACCAGTGATAATTCCTGGTTGTACCTTTGATGGGGTGGGGAAGAAGTGGTGGCAGAAGAGAGCAAACCGCTCAGACAAGGCAGTCAGGCTCACAGGGGAGGTGATGTTGGGACCAGTTGTCTGGGGCTTGACCTCTGTGGCTGTCCTGCTGGTGAGGAGACGGTCCATGAGGCCTGCTCTGCTGACTGGGCCCGAGGTGTCTGAGGTAGGCAGGCCGGGTGTCATGGGGGTTTTCTTCGTACTGGTTGATTACTCCCAGTGGGAGAGGAGCAAGAACACGTGTCCGGATCTCCAGAGCTAGCCATCCCTGCCTGTGTGTTTCCTGTCTGACTATAGTTTTTCCAGGGGAAGTCAGACCTCTTAGTGTTTCCTCAACACCCGACACTTGCCCTGATGTGTAGGTTTCCAAACCAGCTCTGCCAGGCGCCCCTGTCCAGCTGGGGCTCTATTTCCTGTGAACCTAGGAAAGGAGCCTGTTTCACAGATGACTGGAGAAGCTGAGCACTCCCAACATTGCCCTCCCTCCATACATACCTACAGCTGAGGAGAGTCCTAGGAGAAGGAGGGGGGTACTGTTGGAGGAGGGGTGTGTTCTTGTGCACCTTGTGGACTCCTTTGTTCAGGGAAGCATGCCTCCTTGTTTGGGGCGGGGGGTGTCTTTGAGAACAGTGTAGTAACAGGTGACAAAGATTCTAGGCAGAGCCGGGGATAAGGAATGGCCGTGAGCAGTGGTTGATAATTGACCACAGTAACTGGAGATTTGTGGCTTTAGACTTAGTCCGATTTGGGTTCCAGACACTGTGTGTGTGTGTGTGCATACATGTGTCTGTGTGTACACACACACAGATGCATAGTCTTGAGTCAGTGGCCAGAGATCTTGGCCACTAATCTTGTTTTGTGTAGCCTTGTGGAATGAGGGGCATTTATTCAATAAATACTGTTTGAACACTTCCTGTTTGCCCAGTGCTAGGCACTAAGGGTGACTAAGACATGGACTGTGCCACTGAGCAACTCCCACATTCTTGGAAGAGACAGAATTGGGGGCGTGTGATTATAACCGTGTGTGCTGTGTACCATAATCGAGGTCTATCCCAAGGTCTCTGTGAGTGCAGAGTAGCAAGCTCTGCTTAGTGAGCTGGGCTTGATGGGAGAGAGCCAGGGTGGGCTTTGGGGCAGGGGCAGGGGGGTGACCTGTGAGCAGTGCTCGACTGACTGAAGAAGTTACCTGTGCCCAGGTTGAGCACGGGAGATCCCTGTGCAGGGCTCAGGTGTGTATTTAGTGTGGTAGAGATAAGGCTGGGGCTGGTTG